CTTTGCCTATTTCTTATTTACTAGAAATGGCGGTTTTTACCTTGTTGGTAAATCTCGTGAATTACCTAGGCATTTACTATTCTTTTTTTGTACAATAAAAAGTTTACTTCGTAAAAAAAGTCATGTCACTTTTAGTAAGATCGCACGTACAAAACTGAAAGTGGAAGGCATTATCAAATTACACAGTAAACGTATTTTCTTTCGTTCATCCACATTACTCAAATCATCATGTTATATTTACATCATCTTCTATGTCATTGTTTACACTGACATCAAATTTTAGACACTTTAAAAAAAAAAAAACTCTTTGTCCATCCACAATTTTTTAAAAACAAATGAAATGTCAAAGTTGATGTAAGGAATGAATGTACATTTAAAATTATTGTAACTCAAATAAGTCGCTGATTTATATTTCACCACATTTCTAGAATCTTGTGCATCATCACTTCATTTCTATTATTAATTATGGGGATATGCTACATGTACATTGTGGTATACATAATGGTGTCCCTAATGTACATGTAGTGTCCCCCTATTGAGGGGAGTGTCGGGTATGAAATAGGTGTCCCATCAGTCATGATAAACGGGTGGTCAAAGATACAAATTTCGTGTTGGCCATCACCAATCAACATGGAAAAGTATTACATATTCGGCATGTTGAATTGAATCAACACACATTTAGTCCCTGTTTGGTACACATTAAAGTTTTCATTCTTATTTTCAACCACACAGGGACTAAATGTAGTTGAAAATAAGAATGAAAACTTTAATGTGTACCAAACAGGGACTAAATGTGTGTTGATTCAATTCAACATGCCGAATATGTAATACTTTTCCATGTCGATTGGTGATGGCCAACACGAAATTTGTATCTTTGACCACCCGTTTTTCATGACTGATGGGACACCTATTCCATAAGGTATGAATAATTCCCAACTACCAATGCCACTCTTGTATTTGCTAGCAAGACCATGTCTCATTTCACGGAGAAAATTAACCAAGCCAAAAGCCACTAAGCACATTGGTCTATTCTTATAAAGTAATCTTATTTATCATTATAATGATAAAATATTGATAATGTGATGATCAATGTAAAATAATGAAATTGAACAATTCAATTTTTACGAGAGAGATGAGAACGAGGAGACAAATTAAAAAATGTAAGAGATGATGATTATCACGACATTTTTTATTATGATGATAAATTGCATTATTCATCCCTGGCAGCCGAAGCTCTAACACCCATACAATGATACAAGGGTGATGCTACATGTACC